TTATGATTTTGGCATGAAGTTAAGATCTGATTTCATTTTTCCCCCCAAATGGATAAAGTACCATTAATTGAGAGTTCCATCTTTTCCTCCTAATCTTTAATACCACCTCTGACGTAAATCAAATTTTCCTATATGTATGGGTCTATTTGTGAACTTGCTCTTCTGTGCCAATTATCTGTTTGACTGTCTAGTGCCAGTACCACACTGTCTTTTTCAGAAGTGTCTTGGCTATTCTTGGTCTTCTGTTTTTCCATTCAAATTTTAGAGTTAACTTCTCAAGTTCCTCAATAAAACCTGTTTAGACTTTGAAATTGTATTGAATTCATATATCAATTTGGAGAGAATTGGAATATTTATGACACTGAGTCTTCTAATTGATAAACAGTAGTATATACTTTCATTTATTTAGGCCTACTTTAGTGTTCTTCAGTACACTCTACAATACTTTTTCACATAGGTCCTGCACATATCTTGTTAAATTTATTCCCAGGTACTGTGTTCGTCAGGATAAGCTAGGTTATACTGTGGCTTCAAACAAGGTTTATTTTCATTTACACTACCACATGTCCATTGCAGGTTGGGTAGAGGAAGAGGGATGTCTGCATATCATAGTCATGTGGGGACACAGACTGACAGAGCTGCCACTATCTTAAACATGGCCAGGAGACATATCAGAGGGAAAAGAAAGCTTTTGCAGTGTGTGCATCCAGAAATTAAAGGGCCCAGCCCAGAAGTAATACACGTTACTTCCACTCATAATTTATTGGGCAGAATTAATCACATTACCTGACCTAATCATAGGATTCAGGAAGTACAGTCTACCAGGTACTATTAAGGAAATAACTGGAAATGTTTGGCAACCCACAAAAATAATTATCATATGTAGTGTGTGTGTGTATACAGACATATATATACATACACATTTATAAATATATATATAGTATACATGTTGGGGCACCTGGGTGGCTTAGTAGGTTACAGAACTGACTCTTGATTTCGGCTCAGGACCCCAAACAATTTTCGGCTCTTATGAGATCAAGTCCCATGTCAGGCTCCATGCTCAGCATGGATTCTGCTTAAGACTCTCTCTCCCTCTGCCCCTCCCTCCCGCTCTCTCTCTCCTAAAACAAATAAATAAATCTTTAAAAAAGAAACAAATATACGGGATGGCTGGGTGGCTCCGATGGTTAAGTGTCTGCCTTCGGCTCACGTCATGATCCCAGGGTCCTGGGATCGAGCCCCGCATCGGGCTCCCTGCTC